GTGCTGGTATGGTGTTAAAGTTATCAGTTCCCCCTCTTTAATTTTCTTTCTACCGCTAACCTCCTAGCACAAACACAGATTTTAAGCTTATAAGCAAATTTGTCAAAGACAGCTGATAAAAATAATTTTAGGTTCACTTGAGGAGGGGTGCTAGTATGAAATTGTAAGTTTTTCATTTATGCTTGGAAAATATTTACAGCAATTTGGAAAGTGAGGGGGAAGTCACCCATAATCTTATTACCATTATATAATTATTAGTATTAAAGACAGATGACATTAAGTAAGCATCTACTATATTCTTTTAATAATCCTGTGATATATATATTCCCACTTTACATGTGAGGAAACACATCCACTTAATAGTGTAGCAGCCGAGTTTGAACCTAGGTACATCTTGAGAAAGGTCTGGAGAGGAGACCTTTCTGTTCTACCTTCCTGTTCTTCTTTTATATATATCCTTTTACCTAGTTGTTATACAATTTGTAAGTTTCATCTCCTAGTTTTAAAACTTAGCATTATAAAAACATTTTTCTCCCTGCCCTTATTTCAAGTGGTGTCGTATTGCTCACATTGTCTATTCATACCACCATATAAAGGCTCTTTGTCTTGGCTGCTGGACATTGATACAATGATATTGACCAAAATGGATGCTGCCCTTTACTGAGTGACTAAGATGAAAAAAATCAGACTTAATCAGAACTAATACTTTATGGGATTTGGATTGCTACAGGTTTAATCATGCCATCTATCCTTGCTGGTGGGACATTTGAACTTAGAATTGGATATAAGTAAAATACAGATGAGAAATTGAATAATTTATAGCTATCTGAAAACAACTGTATTTTAACACTTTGAAATGCCTTGCGCTTCCTTGTGAAAAATCTTAAAAGGATTTTAAAATTAAATGGGCACTTAAAACTTATCTAGTTACTATTAGTAATTCCTAATATAATTTTATTTAATTCATAAAAGAAAAAAGCGAATTCTGGCACTCATTGGGAAGATGGCATTATATGTTGATATAATTTGTGGGACATAGTGACTATAGTTAATATTGCATACTTCAAAGTTGCTGGGAGAGTACATTTTAAGTGTTCATACCACAAGATATAACTGAGGTAATCCATATGTTAATTAGCTAAATTTAACCATTGCATAATTTATATGTTTTTCAAAATGTGTTGTACACCATAAATATATACAATTTGTATTAGTTTAAGAAGAAGAAAAAGATAATTTGTGGGCATTTATAAATAGATTGTATAGGTCAACACTGCACAATAGAAATATAAGTTGAGTCACAAATGCAATTTTAGATTTTCTATAGCTACATCAAAAAATAAAAATAAATAGGTGAAATTTTATTAATGGAGTTTTATTTAACACAGCGTATCTCAAGTACTATTATTTCAACATATAAACATGACTGAACTATTTTACATTTTTTCTTTTTTTTAACCATATTAAGTCTTCAAAATCTGTTGGTATTACATACTTAAAGCACATCTCAATTCAGACTAGCCAGACTTCAGGTATTCAGTAGCCACATACAGTTACTGTGTTGGACAGTGCAATTACAGATAGTAAGTCCTATAGGGGTACAGAGAAAGAATAATATAGAAATAGAACTGAACAGTAAAGAATGGCTGAAAACAGAAAATGCTTGAGAAGAATATTCCCATAAAGGAGTGATGGGAATTAAAATTAAGCAAATACAGTTTGATACCAGGTAATAGAGTGGCTTGAATCCAGTTTAGGGAATATAGTTTGGGGTATGTGTGTGTGTATGTGTGTGTGTGTGATTGCGAATATGTATTGGAGGGTGCCTAATTCATGTCTCATACATGAGCACTTGATACATACTGAATTAGCTGGGTGCATTGGCTCACGCCTGTAATCCCAGCCCTGTGGGAGGCTGAGGCAGGCAGATCACCTGAGGTCAGGAATTCGAGACCAGCCTGGCCAACATGATGAAATCCCATCTCTACTAAAAATACAAAAATTAGCTGGGCATGGTGGCGTGCACCTGTAATCCCAGCTACTTGGGAGGCTGAGGCAGGAGAATCGCTTAAACCTGAGAGGAGGTGGAGGTTGCAGTAAGCCAAGATCATGCCACTGCATCCCGCGTGGGTGACAGAGTGAGACTCTGTCTCCAAAAAAAAAAAAAAAAAGATAAATATTGAATTAATATTTAGAGAGAATTAATGTGACACCACAGAAAATGCTGGAAAAAACATCCTAACAAAGCCTTGTGGATCTTCAAAAGGGAAAGAGTTTCGTTTAGGGAATATTGATGTTCTGTAATTAACAATACGATGGATTGATAAAGAAGGATGAGAATTGAGAAAAGGTTTTTAGATTTAGCTATTATTGGTTACTTGTTTTAAAGTTTTATTTAGGTATAACTTACAGTGTACTTACAGTGAGGTGCACAAATCTTAAGTACAACTCAGTAAATTTATACATACAAGTATACCCAGGTAACTCCCAGGTACTGGGAGGTACTGGGTTACACCTGGGGAGAAGAGGATGTAAAAAAAGCATAGACATGAGAGTTGTGGAATGCAAGCATTTTCCCTGGTTAGAGCCTATCTATTTTAAATGAATTACCCAGATTGAGATGTAGAAGAATGTTTTTCTTCACTGATTAAAGGCGCCTTGTGCTCCCTCCTATTAATTTCTCCCTACAGAAGTAACCACTATTCTAGCCTCTAACCTCTATCACCATAAATTAGTTTTTGCTTGTTTCTTTTTATTTTCCTTCCTTTTTTTTTCTTTTGAGACAGGGTCTCACTCTGTCATCCTAGCTGGAGTGCATTGGCGCAATCTCAGCTCACTGCAACCTTCACCTCCCAGGCTCAAACGATCCTCCCACTTCAGCTTCCTGAGTACCTGGAACTACAGGTGCGCGCCATCATGCCTGGCTGAATTTTTTTTTTTTTTTTGTAGTAGAGATGGGGTTTTACCATGTTGCCCGGGCTGGAGTTTTTGTTTCTGAACTTCTTATGGCATATTTGTTCTCCTTCTCAAGGTTAGTGAGAATTGATGCTTGAATCCATCTCTCTTTTCTTCTGTCCTTGTTTGGCATTGTTATGAATTGGGAGGTAAATCAGATGAAATTTGGTACTATGGCCCTTTTTTCCCCCCAGTGACAAAATCAGAGAGGTGCTTCTTAGTGTTCATAATAGTGCTCCTTTAGACATTAGTTTTATGACTTGATATTTTGTTTAGAATGCAGAGATTTGAGTTGCCTCCACCGATAATATAGTTGCCTGGCTTGCTGTCATTACAGTGTTCTCTAGGCATATAGCCAGGAAGTAGGTGGAGGAGGTTGTGGATTGCCTCCTTATATAACGGTTTTTGGAGCCTCTTTGATAGTAGCTTCCAGGCATTTTATCAGTTAGCTATTAGGCATTTTAGGTTGCTTATTAAGGTATATGGGTATTTTTGATTTTAGTTTTAGAAGTAGAAATAAATAGGTGTACCTTTTTTTTTTAATAGGTAGGTATCTAACCTGTCCAACAGAAAAGTAGAATATAACTAGAATGTTACCTTATGGACAGTTGCTTACAAGTGTGAATGGTTAAAGCCCATGTAGGAGACTTTATAAATGGAAAACTGAAATAGAATTGTTCATCATGGTTTTTACTTTTAGTGCTTGAATCAGTTTTTTTCCCCAAATGGAATTAATAGTTGTAGCATTATTTTTTGTAAATACTGAATAGTAGAAACCTTATTGTAGTATAGAAATATTAAATTGGTGCTTTGCAGATAAATAATTTTTTCTGAAATGTGTATTATAATAAAGTTGTTAAAAGTACATAATAATAAAAAATGTGTCTTCACATTCTAGTATATCTAGTTTTGAAGAATGAATATGTAAATTGTGCAGAAATGGATATGAAAAGACTTTCTCATTAACATTTGGATTGCGAATGCTCTTGAGTTTATAAATGAAAATATTTACTCTATATAAAGATGTTTTGTCTTTTGGAATTTGTAATAAATTTGTTTAATATACTCTTGCTCCAAGGATTTTAGTATTTGTCTTGAAGAAATAATAAAATCTCACCTGTCAACTTTTCTTATTGTAGCTTTTGTGAAGTATAAAAGGCTAAAGCAAATTGGTTAAATTAGACATTAAAAAAACTATATGATTATTATCTCCAAAATATTGAGACTTTATACATAACAGTTTTTGGGGGCTAGATTTAGAAAATCACTAACATAAAACAATTAGAATTTTCTTAATTATCATCTTCAGAACTAATGTATGTAGGAAAAAATACACTCAAGTTTGTGTTCTATGTTTACATGTTGTTTTGACAAAAATGAATGTTACATTTGAATTTAGTTTTGGGAGATTTCAGTTTTTTTGTATTCAGAAAAGTCTTGTTTGTCTGGTTGTATTTCCCCCAGTTTTCACATGTTTTATTTAACTGGGTTAGTTGTCATACAAAATTCAGCTAATGTTTCACTAGGAGTAGGGATGCACATATACAGAGCACAGGATATGGCGTCTACTCCAAAGAGCTCATGATCTAAGATATAACTTGAAGAGTACTTAACTGTGAAACATTTAAATTACTGAGCTGACAAAATAAAATCTGTAATAAGATTAATTAATAAAGCTTCTTGACAAAAATAATTTTTTAACCTAGATTTTGAAGAAGTGGTATGTATAGGTTGGTGAAAAGGGACGGAAATAACAGCTAGGGGGAAGAGCATATTAAAAAAGCGCAGATATTTTGGGATGCTGAGGCAGGTGGAGCACCTGAGGTCAGGAGTTTGAGACCAGCTTGGCCAACATAGTGAAACCCAGTCTCTACTAAAAATACAAAACGAAAAAAAGAAATTAGCCAGGTGTGGTGGTGGGTGCCTGCAATCCCAGCTACTCGGGAGGCTGAGACAGGAGAATCACTTGAACCTGGGAGGTAGAGGTTGCAGTGAGCTGAGATTGTGCCACCACACTCAGCCTGGGTGACAGAGTGAGACTGCGGCTCAGGGAAAAAAAAAAAAAAAAAAAAAAGCACAGACATGAGAGTTGTGGAATGCAAGCATTTTCCTTGGTTAGAGTCTATTTTAAACGAATATAGTAAAAAATAAGATTGTGGCATGAGCTGGAGGGATCTAAAGAAGTTTGGATTAGAAATTGGAAATAAGGAGTTCTACTGAAGATCATTGAACAGAATTACATGAAGAAATATGAGTAGCAGCCAGATACAGCATGATTGGAGAGGAGATTGAAGTGAGGACGGCCAGTTAGTGTTTATTATCTTGGTGAGTGGGAAGGGTATATTAAGAGTAAGGATATGTAGTTTTAAATAAGTCAAATCAAATATTGTGGCTCCTCAGTTTGTAGTACAGAGCTAAAATAAGAATGAGAATTTTATTATCTTCTGATATTCAAAATAAATGGAGATAGAGTTTGCATATGACTTACTAGCACTAATTGAGGTAGGCCTTTCTCTTAAAAAAAAAACTGGCTTGGACTTTTTTTTCTGTTAAGTTTATTTTGAAAACCAAGAAAGTTATGTTATAATGGTGTTTTCCTAAGTAAAGAATACTTAAGGTAACTGGTAAGAACTTGTATGCTGAATTTTGAGTTAAAATTCTATATTTTATTCATGGCTTAAGAGACATTATAATTTGCATTGGAGCTGGTGGGAAAACAGGAAATAATAAAAATTAACAGTACTACGTATTTATATTTGTTTTTAAGTAGACACTTGTTTTAAAATATAGGAACATTTGGGAATACTCTGCTTTTATAGGAAAATAGTGTTCTTAAGATGTAGAGTTTTTAATAATTCCTAAATTGAATGTACATTATGTTTTATAATGGGTAAAGGTCATTTTAAAAATAGAATTAGAAAAACAGGAAAAATTATAAAAGTAATACAATTTTTTAAATCCTCGTTTTTTTTTAAGAGTTAGGAAATAGAACAGAAGCTTGGGAACTAATAGTTTTAGAGTTTTAAGATACCATGTTTTAGCTTAACATTTACATTTTAAACATTGTCACAGTTAAATTAAGCTTTTAGGATTTAGTATGCAGTAGTTCTCTGCTGGCACTAAGTCTTTCCCCTTCGCTTCTTTCCAACAGGTGTTGCCCAAGCTCTCATAAGCCATTCTTTTCTTTCTATTATTATTACTATTTTGTAGAGACGGGTCGCACTTTGTTGCCCAGGCTGGTCTTGAACTCTTGGGCTCTAGCAGTGCTCCTGGCCTCCCAAGGTGCTGTGATTACAGTTGTGAGCTACTGAGACCAGCCTTTTTATTCTGATGGTCAGTACTGATGAAGTCCTTTCCAGTTTTGGGCACACAGCCTTCCGTTATTTCTGCCGTCAGTTTTTTGTCTTTCTACTGTGCTTTTCAACCTTGGTTATTTATGAATCACCTTAATCTGCACAATTATTACTTACCATTTAACTGCAGCAAGTAAAGACATTAATAGTGAGGTTTTTGGGAACGTGGTAAAATCAGGAGGTATGTTTCACTTTGACCAAGTTATCTGATGAGGCAGATCAGCTAAAGCAAAATACAGTGGGTTGCTCCCTACTATCACTGGGACCTAGAGATTTCATCTACGTCTCTGAAAAATGAGGTTTCTGTATGATAGTATGGGTGAAAAGGAATGTCAGCAGAACTATCAGCTGTTTTCTGATTATCCTGATGAACTAGTGGTATAGGAAGCTTTTCTGAAAATGCTGCTCTGAGTTGCTTGCTTAAGTAGTCGCTTGTTAATACCTGTGTATGGCTCCATAGTTCTTGAGAATAGCCCTATCTCCATTTGTTTGTAGATGAGAGAAAGCTGAACCTTCTGCTGTCAGTGGAGAAGGCCTAGAATTAGTCTAGAACTGGTGCTGTAGGGCCCTGGAATGCTTCAGGAATTGGTGTCTGCAGGGACCTCTGAAGGAATTGTCTAAAAGTCTGTGTAACAAGTAAGCAACACTGATGGTTCCAGGAAAGGAACTCCTGCCTCATCCAAGTTTTCTTCTTTGACATTCAACCTGAGGATCTCTGTACTTGAGAACAGTAGGCACAGTTCAGGTTAAGGGCATCATACTGGAAAACAGGGAGAATTACATGAAAATCTACATGTTGATCTGAGAGTTATTCCCAATCTCTTTTTCCCTCCCAGTTCGGAGAATACTGGCTGACAAGTTCTTGCCCCATCTAGCTGTGAGATTAAAAGATTCATCCTGTGACAGCAAACTGATGAGATCAGGAAAAATGTCTAACTGATAACAGATGTGGCCCAGATGGATAATCCTACAGTATGTCTCCTCATTAAGACAGAATCTCTAGGCAACTTTTAAATGCCTCAACCTTAAATATGAGATTAAGGATCACCAAATATTTGAGGATAACCTTAATATGAAAGAGAAGAGGGAAATGGAAATACTTTAAGAAGACAAGTTTTTATAAAAAGTTACTGATTTCTTCAGAAGTAGATACTGCATCTTTGAAACAAGAAAGGATGCTATGAAAAAGCAGTGCCCAGAAAAGAAGAGCTTCTAGAAATTTAGAATATGAAACACTTCATAGAATAATTGGAAATTCAGAATATTAAATTCTTATTAGAAGATTGGAAGATAAAGTTGAGAAAACGCTCACAGAGGAGGACAAAAAGAGTTGTAAAGTGGGAGAAAATAAGAAAACTAGAGGATCACACTTGCATGCACGTTCAACATATGAAAAGTAAGAATTGGCTGGATGCGGTGGCTCATGCCTGTAATCTCAGCCCTTTGGGTGGTCGAGGTGGGCGGATCACCTGAGGTCAGGAGTTCAAGACCAGCCTGGCCAACATGGTGAAACCCTGTCTCTACTAAAATACAAAAGTTAGCCGGGCGTGTTGGTATGCACCTGTAATCTGAGCAAATCGCTTGAACCTGGGAGGCAGAGGTTGCAGTGAGCTGAGGTGGCGCTCCTGCACTCCAGCCTGTGCAACAGTGGGAGACACTGTCTTAAAAAAAAAAAAAAAGGAGAAAATGGAAGAAATTATGTGAATTTCCACAATGAAAGGGCTCATGAATGCTCAACATGGTGACTGAAAAAAAGAACATCAAGATATATCATGGTGAAATTTCAGACACCCGAAATAAAGAGAAGATCAAGAAAGCTTTCGGGAATGGAGCACAAAGGAGGGATTAGAAATAGGTAGCATTGGAGAGTAATCAGTAATGGAATAATACCTTCAAAATCCTGAAGGAAAGTTATTTCCAAACTCTTCATTCTATACCAATCTATCAAGTGTGGTAGGAGGCTAAAAATAGGAAATGTATGAGGTTGTTAGAATCTTTACTTCAAAAGTACCATATCAGGAAGTTACTAAAAGGCACAGGCTCCATCAAAGTGATGGGATAACTAAAAAGAGGGGGATCCGGGAAATAGGATGCAGTACAGGAGAAGAGTAAAGAGAATTTCTAGGATGATTATGAAGGGAGATTCAAGGATAGTGCTGTACAGGAGGTCTGAAGAGTAACCAGTTCAGCTTGGGACAGGAGGATGAAGGGATCTAGATGGTGTGTCTTTAGAGGAAAAAAAAAAAAAAGGACTTTTCTGATTTAATTTATAAGGGATATTTGTTGGTAGTTTTCTTATGATAACTTTGTCTGATTTTGGTATGAGGGCAATATTGGCCTCACAGGAATGAGTTAGGAAGTGTTCCCTCCTATTTTTTGAAAGAGTTTGAGAAGGAATAGTGTTAATTCTTGAAATGTTCCCCAGATTCCAGGGAAGCAGTCTGGTCATGGATTGTTTGTTTGTTTTTATGAGACAGAGTCTTGCTCTGTTGCCCAGGCTGGAGTGCAATGCACAATCTTGGCTCACTGCAACCTCGAACTCCGGGGCTCAAATGATCTATCCTCCTGCCTTAGCCTCTCAGGTAGCCAGTACTACAGGTGCCCTCCACCGTGGTTGGCTAGGTCCTGGACTTTTCTTTGTGGGAAGTTCTTTCTACTTGATTTAGGTCTATTCAGATTTCCTGTGTCATCTTCAGTCAGTTTCAACAGTTTGGGTTTTTCTAGGAATTTGTCCATTTCATCTACACTATGTAATTTGTTGACATACGGTTGCATAGTGTTCTTCTATAATCCTTTTTATTAATATAAGGTTGGTAGTAATGACTCCTTTTCCATTCCTCACTGTAGTGATTTGAATCTTTTCTTTCTTAGTTTAGCTGAAGGTTTGTCAATTTTGTTCTTTTCAAAGAACTAACTTTTGGGTTCTTTGATTTTTTTTTTTCCCCCTCTACTTTTTTTCTGTTCTCTATTTCTGCTGTGTTCTTTATTTTTTTTTTTCTTTTGCCTGCTTTGGGTTTAGTTTGTCTTTTCCTAATTTCTTAAGATAGAAAGTTAGGTTGTGGATTTAAGACCTTCTTTTTTAATGTAGGCATATATAGCTGTAAATTTCCCTATAATAAGCATTGCATTTACTTCATCCCATAAGTTTTAGTATGTTGTGTTTTTGTTTTTATTTATCTCAACGTATTTTCTGATTTCCAGTGCAATTTTTTCTTTGGCTTACTGGTTACTTAGATGTTTGTTGCTTAATTTCCACATATTAATTTACCAAATTTCCTTCTGGTATTGATTTCTAGTTTCATTCCATTGTGATCAGAGAACATACTCTCTGTGATTTTTATTCCTTTAAAATTTATTGACACTTGTCTGATGGCCTAACACATAGTACATACTAAAGAACATTCCTTATTCTGCTGTCGTTAGGTGGAGCGTTTTGTAGAGTTTGTAGTGTTCAGGTCTTCTATTTCCTTGATCTTCTGTCTATACTACCCATTATTGAATGTGAAGTACTAAGGTTTCTAACTATTATTTTTGAATTCTGCCTTTCAATTTTGTCAGTTTCTACTTCATATATTTTGGGGTTCTCTTATTAGCTGTGCACATGATTATAAGTGGCATGTAATTTTGATGGATTGACCTTTTTGTTATTACAAAACATTCTCTGTTTCTAGTAACAATTTTTTGTCTTAATGTCTATTGTTTCTGCTGCGAGAATAGCTGCATCAGCTCTCTTTTGGTTACTTTCTGCATGCTATAACATTTTTGATCTTTTACTTTCAGTTTATTTGTATCTGTTTAATCTCAAGTGTGTCTCTTATAGCCAGTATATAGTTGGATTATGTTTTTTACCCATTCTGCCAGTATGTGCTTTTTGATTGGAGTGCCTGATTAATTTGCATTTAACATAATTACCAATAAAGTGGAATTTACGTCTGCTGTTTTGCTCTTTGTTTTCTATATATCTCATTGCTTTTTGGGGTGGTTATTCCTCTAGTCCTCTAGTACTGTTTTTTGTGTTAAATAGATATTTTCAAGTGTATCACTTGAATCACTTGTTTTGTACTGTATATTTTTAATTCATTTTTGTAGTGGTTGCTCTAGGAATTATAATTAACAACTTAATTTTATTCTAGTTGAAATTAATACTGTTAATCTTAATAATACACAAAAAGTTTGCTCCTATATAGCTCTGTTCCCTCTCCTTCCTTCGTGCTATTATTGCCATACATACATCCTTTTATACCTTTTAAATCGGGAGAAGAAAAAGTCACAGAGAGAAAACAATTATACTGTCTTTTATATTTACCTATGTAGTTACCTTCACCATACTCCTTATTTCTTCAGATGGATTCAGCCTGCTATCTAGTGCTCTTTCATTTCAGCCTGAGGGATACTCTTCAGTATTTGTTTAAATCTGTAAATGTCTTAATTTCTCCTTCTGTTATGAAAAATAGTTGTAGAATTCATGGTTGAGAGTCTTTTTCTTTCAGTGCTTTGACACCATTGCCATCTGGCCTCCATGGTTTCTCATTAAAAATTAGTTGTTAATGTTACTAAAGATGTTTGTCTGTGACAAGTTGTTTCTTTCTTGCTTCTTTTAGGATTCTCTCTTCCTTTTTCAGCAGTTTTAGGATGATGTGTCTAAGGTGTAGATCTCTTTGGGTTTATCCTCTGTGTAATGCCTTGTGCTTTTTTGGATGTTTAGGTTAATGTTTTTCATCAAACTGGGGGAATTCTTAGTCACATTTCCTCAAATGCTCTTTCTGCCTCATTCTTATCTCCCCTCTCTTCTGAAACTCCTATTATGTATACAATGGTATGTTTAATGTTGTCTCACAGGTATTGTAGGCCCTATGCATTTTTAAAATTGGTTTTCTTTCTGCTCCTCACACTGGATAATCTCAGTTGATCTATTTTCAGGTTTGCTGACTTTTCTAGTGAATTGTTCATTTTAGTTATTGTGCTTTTCAATTCCACAATTTTTTTTTGTCATAATTTTTTATCTTTTATTGATATTCTCATACTTCCTTTCAGTTCTTTAGACATGGGTTTCTTTTAGTTCTTTGAATATGCTTAAAGTAGCTGATTTTAAAACATTGTCTGGTTTAGTCAGTGCTATGTCTGGGTTTCCTCAGGGACAGTTTTGTGGACTGCTTCTCTCTCCATGTGTATGAACCGCACTTCCTTCTTCTTTTTTTTATATCTTGTAATTTTTTGTTGAATACTGCACATTTGAAATAATGTCACAACTCTGATAATCAGATTCTCCTCTCCTCTCTGCCCCAGTGTTGTTATTTTAGTGATTTTTTTCGAAACTAATTCTATAAATTAATCTGTATTCTTTGTCACACGTAGGCACTGAAATCTCTGCTCAGTTGGCTTAGTGGTCAGCTAATGATTGGACAGAGATTTCCTTAAATGCCTGGGAGTTATACATCTTTTTGTTGAAGTTATGTGTGTGTTGGGACACTCCTTCAACACTTAACCAGGCAGTTTACAACTCTGCCTTACTCTTTAGTTCCTGCTTGTGCAGAGCCTCAAGTTTAGCTAGAGGTGAGCACTTAGGTCTTTACTGGGCATGTGTACAGCCCTTTCTGTACACGTGGCTTTCTATAGTCTCAGGAATATGATGGAGCTTTATAAAGCCCCCAGCTTTTCTTTTTAAAGATTTTAGTCTACTGTTTGCCTCAGCTGTTCTTCTCTCCCTCAGCCAGCTGCGATATGAAACAGTTACCTCTTTTTGACAAATGTCCTTTGGTTGTCCTAGGGTATTAGGGGAAGCTTTTTATACTAGATAAGTGCTGAGTCAGGTCAAATTAAACTAGCTTTGAGAGTAGAGCCTTCCAGGAGACCACCAGACATGTTAAATAATGACAATTCTCTGGGAATGAGGTACTAAAGGAGCACCAAACCTCTTCTGTCTTCCCTAGTACCTGCCAGGCTGTTGAGTTTTTTGTTTTTAATTGTAAAGCAGTGGGGTCTGGCTCTGTGCTCAGGCTGGAGTGCAGTGGCGTGGTCATAGCTCACTGCAGCCTCAAAGTCGTGGGCTCAACTGATCCTCTGGCTTCGGCCTTGTGAGTAGCAGGGACTACAGATGCATGCCAACATGCCTGACTAATTTTTAAACATTATTTAGAGGTGGGGTACTACCATGTTGCCCAGACTGGTTTCAAGCACTTGGGCTCAAGCAGTTCTCCCCACCTCAGCCTCTCAAGTAGTTGGGATTATAGGCATAAGCCACTGGTCCTGATCCCCCAGGCTGCTAATTTTCAAAGCTACTACCCAGCTATGGGGGAGGATGGGAATAGGGGAAGATGAAATGCCTTAAAGTGTACTGGTCTTCCCAAATAAGATTCAGCCATTTATCACTCTTCCTAGATTGCTCCAAGCTTTTGG